ATGGGTTTGTTCAGACATCGGAGTAACGCCTTGCCTATCCCTAAAGGTGTTTGATAAATCTCAGTTTTGCGTACAGGTGATTATTGTTCCTCGTCTGATCTATCACACCTCTGAGGAGGTGTTACACCATTTTGAAGGAGACCTGAATAGACAAAAACGAGAGCCAATTACAGTGGTAACCTTAGCTACACTGCTGATAGCGGGCGGAGTTGGAGCAGGCACAGGCATAGCCTCCCTAGTAAAAGGTAAGGAATTACAAAGTTTACAGATGGCTGTAGATGAGGATTTAGCAAAAATAGAACAATCTATCCAAAATTTAGCCACTTCAGTAAAGTCTTTATCAGAAGTAGTACTGCAAAATAGAAGAGGATTAGATCTGTTGTTCTTAAAGGAGGGAGGGTTATGTGTAGCTCTCAATGAAGAATGTTGTTCTTTTGCTGACCATACGGGAGTAGTCCAGGACACCATGTCTGAACTCCGGAAAAGGTTAGATCAACGTAAAAAAGATCGTGAGACGGGCAGGTCATGGTATGAGAACTGGTTTAATGTTTCACCCTGGCTAACCACTTTGTTATCTACTTTAGCAGGACCGCTTATTATGCTAATCTTAGGACTTGTATTTGGACCTTGTATATTGCGTTATATTTTACATTTTATTAAGGAAAGGCTTGACATAGCCAAATTGCTTATTCTAACTACAAAATTCGAAACAAAGTATAAGAAGGTATCTATCAATGAAGAGGAAGAATACTGTGAATGTACTATGCCACGAAAATGCTATGAATGTAACTGCGAGGTATTACCTTGTGAATGTTATGATAAGTGTTGGGAGTGTGGGAACAAATTAGCTTACAGTACTGAGAATGAAAATGAAAGTAACATCTAATAAACAATAATAGGATAAAAAGAAAAAGGGGGGATTGTGAAAAACTAGGGACTATGGTATTGTTTATTAAGATTTATGCTAAGCCTGATGTAAAGATTAGACAACAAAAGAAAAGATAACCGTGGTCGCTTGTGCAGATTAAACCAGACACCGCTTGCGCAAGTTTTGAGGAAACATCTGCAAGTTTTGAGGAAATATCTGCAAGTTTTGAGGAAATATCTGCAAGATGTTCTAAAAAACTGGCAGACATATGGGTGGGGGCAACTATTGCTTTGCTTAAGTGCTTTACTTGCATAAATTGACACCAAAATTACTTACAAACCGCAAGACGCTTACTAAGGGCTTTTGCAAAATAATTCTAAAAATTATTGCACAGCAAGTTGAAGACCATATATGGAAAAGGATATCTAAAGGTAACCGAGGAGGACTTCAAGCCTTCAGCCTCAAGCAACTGGGGCATGCGCAGAGTACTCCGTTGAAGATACGAATGCGGAACTGGAGGACTGATAAAAAGGGACTGTTAGAACTGTTCAGCACGGCAGTTGTCGGAGCACAGACTCCCCTGTCGTCCAGCGCTGTCTTTGCTCATATTCTACTTGCTATAATTAATAAAATTCAATTGGATTATGATCCGTTGTGGTCCCAATTTATAACACCCTCCTCCCTGGCAGAGCATGAGACTCACAAAGTCCTTGGTCAGAGTAAACATTACTGAGCAGCAACCAAAAACATGGGTGTTATCAGCCTTGTTCCCAGACTGAAAAAATCAAAAGCACAGCACTGCACCAGCTACTAAGAAGGAGAAAAATGACTGCTACTACTGAACCCAGGACAACCAGCTATCTAAAAAACACACTCTCGCTTCACAGTCACTGCAGAGGGCTTACCAAAGCACAATATGCAAAGTAAACAAATAGCTTATTTGTTTACACTGATAATAAAGCTCAAAATGCCTTGGAAAGCATTTAACAACTGAGGGTTAAAATTATTAATTATTCTATGATTCATATATTAAAAATAATTATTATTTATTAATGTATTGATTATTTTAGCATGCTTGCTTAATTATTTTGGCAAGCTTCAGGTATACAAGGATAAAGTTTCCCCATTAATGACAATACTGGAAATCAATTATAACAAGCAGCCAAAGTTATTTTCTCTGGCATTTTCTCAATTATCCCAAGTAGTCTATTGCATATGGGAAGAGACAAATACATTCTTACGGATTTGACAAAACAGAATACAATAGCTATATTATTCTATCCACTGCTCTCAATTAAATGTTCCCTGAATACTAACTGCCGTGGTTTAAACCCAGTCAGCCATAAATTACACAGTCGCTCGCTCGCTCACTCCCCCCTCCTTTCTTGCCCTCCCCCTGCTCCCTGGAGGGATGGGGAGGAGAATCAAAAGAATGCAACTCCCACAGGTTAAGAACAGTTTAGTAACTAAGGTATGACACAAATCACTACTGCTACCACCAATAATAATGATAAAGGAAATAAGGGAAAAGAATACAACACCCCACCACCTGCCAACCAATAACTTGCCCCCACCCAACCAAGCACCAACCAATACCTAGTCCAACCCCGCAGTGAACTAGCCCTTCCGGGTAACTCTGTTACATCCTGGGCATGATGTGCTGTGGTACAGAATACTTCTTTGGTCAGTTTGGGGCAGGTGTCCTGTCTCTGCTTCCTCTCAGCTGCCCCTCCGCCCTGGCAGAGCATGAGACTCAGAAAGTCCTTGGCCAGACTAAACATTTGAGCAGTAACCAAAAACATCGGTGTTATCAGCACTGTTCCCAGCCCGTAAGTCAAAAACACAGCACTTTACCAGCTACTAAGGAGAAAAAGAAATGACTGCTACTGCTAAACCCAGGACACTGACACATCAAATATATAGGCAGTAGTTGTGCTGAGAAAAAAGTTGTTAGCATGCACCACATTATATTAATTCTCCAGTTACACACAAATCAAAGCAATGAAATCTGGCCTGTTCAAGAGCTGAACAGCTTGAATCTAGAATGAAGGAGCTAGTCAATACTAACAAATAAAAAATTTGTCTGTTCTACCCCAGTGTTCCCTGCTATAATGAGATGCATTGAGAGACAGACAAGTTATGATTTAAATACCAAATGCTAATTCAAAAGTCACTGAGTCTGTAGTTACCAACTTAGAATATGAAAAAGCTTTCAGTTGCTAATTAGCAACGCATACCCACTTAAACTTGGGGTGAACCAAGACAGTTCTGCAACTCAGCCATGGAATGGTATTTGACAAATACTGCTCACTATCCAGCTTGAAGGAAGCTTTGTCTTGGTGAAGAGAAGCAGTCATAGTTGACCTGATGTCTACTGTTAAATGGAAATATTTTCTATAAATCAGGTGGACTAAGAAGACTGTCCCCATGATGAGTGGTCAGATATTAGTTACTTTGTAATGCACTGCATCTTTGTGCCTTATCAAGCTACAAGTTAACTCATCTGAGACAAAAACCTGGCAATGACACACTTGGATGCACTATAAAGAATTTCCACATAACCGCACACCATGCAGCCAATGCCTGCAGCATCAAATACAGTCGAATCAAATATTTGAGAGAAATAGCTAAAAACATTCTAAACCAGAATAGTAGACAAGTCAGCTCTTGCCATTAAGAGGCTCCCTTCTGTCTTATTGCTTTAAGTTTATTTAGTCATGCTGCTTGACAACATCCTGTTTTTAAGGTCTCATGACAATTTTACATTCTCCACATGCTCTTATTCAGGAGTCAAGCCAATTTGATTTGACATTCTAGACAAAAAAATTTAAGCAAAGCAAATCCAATTCTAAGTCAACTTCTGACTGTAAATAAGAAACAGCCCGATAATGAAAAAGATACTTCTGAACTCCTCACACAGGTAATTGCTACATGAAATTGCCATATCAAGATAGTAGCAAAGCAGGGAGTTAGCAGAAGCCAAATACATAATTTAATATCGTGTTTAAGTGGTTTCTGTGCAAATTACATCCTTCTGAGAAAACTTCAACTACTGCTACATTTGCTCTCATGTAGACAATGAAGTATAACTCCATAATATATGGACAGTGATGGGCTAGCCCTGTAACAATGTTACATGAGGCTAGCAAGAGGCAGTACCCAAGGAGGCAATCCTCTAGGTAGGTTTAAGACATCACCTTCTCCACTTTCATTTTTCACTAAGCTAGAATTGCATGTGAATTGAAGGCATTAATACAGAACCATCTCTCCTGTAAAGCTTTCTGTCCATGCATTTTTACAGACATGTAGCATTCACAAATAATACGGTGTCCAACCGCTGAGTTATCTTAAGCAAACAGCTTGTGCAACCAGCTACATCAGTCAATAACCAAATCAAAGGAAACACTGATTTATGTGAATTTACCTCAAACATACTAAATAGCCTTAATTTTTAAGATAGATAGACTAACAAATCACACTAAAGACTATCTAGTTTATCTATTTTCATTTCAGAGAAAAAGTACATTTAGTTTTCTGTATGTTTTGGTGAAGATTTAACCTTAATTACAACCTTCATATCTACATGAGGATATTCCATCCTCCTACTGAAATAGGTGGCTATTGTCCCCAAAACTGTTTAGTAGTCTCCACAGTTAAACACAGCCAAAGATAAGTGGCATTGACAGCCCAAAGCAGAAAGCCTTCCACAATCCTCACTAAAACTCTACAGGCAATTCACTAAGGTTTATGATCACCAACATCAGGCAAAAGCATGTAAGGGATACCTGGAAAGCAATATTCTGCTCCATGCACTTTGAAAGATCTAACCCATCCTCCTCTCTACAAGAGAGAAGAGAAAGGAAAAAAATACCACTAAAAATGTCTAAAAAAAATAAAATAAATTAAGATGCACGTGGAAGGGATGATGGAATAGTTTTAGTCATACACATTTTCTTCTGTCTTGGTTAGAGCTGTGAAAATCTCATAAGTAGTGCAGCAAATACTACTATCATTAAGCATTTCAAAGTACCAATTAGTAAGTTGTTTTCAAGACTTCTTACATAGATGCATGAACACCTATAACACATAAGTGTAACTGAAGGTAAAGACCCATGGACAGAAATAGCCTTACCTCAGTGAAGTTGATCTTCACTGCACTGAACATATGATCTCTGGCACTTTCCACACCCCTTGACTTTGTCTGAAAAATGTAAAAATAAAATCCTCTTAAAAACAGCAGGAAGTCAACATGCACTACAGAGGTCCAGCTGCATCAATGAGCATGAACATTTACCATAAGACAGTGAAACAAATTATGGTATTGAAGACCCATCTGATTCTACCTTAAAAATCCTCATATTTTAAAGCAAGTATTATGCAGGCTGCTTATTCCCTTGAGAGGTTACACAATAACATGTGCTGAATGACAAAGATACAGTAAATCTATCTTACTCAGTTTCATGCTGTCATACTGGTATAGGATTAATCAGTGATCCCTTGTACTAGCTTAAGGTGGTGGGTTTTTTGTGATTTTTTTTTCCTGTTTGTTTTGTTTGGTGGGTTGTTTGTTTGTTGTTTTTTTTTTGTTTGAGTGAAGAGTAGGAAAAGTAACTTTGCTATGGCTATTTTTGATAAGACAAATATTTAAAACAGGAAGCACTACCTGATCTAAGCCTTCAGCTGAACCAGTAGCCAGGGAAGGATTGTAAATACAGGCACTACACTAAACAGTAGTTCAACGGTTTAAAGAGAGTTACCAGTTCCATCAGCATTGTCATCACTTCTTCTGTAACAAGGTTCTTTGAATAATCCAGTAAGATATCCCCATGATCAGTATTCAGAGTCAAGCTGTCAAAACAAAGCAGGTTGTTTAATTACAAATTCCTGGAGAACTGTTTTAAGCAAGACAATGCTAACTCCTCCATAGACTACAAAATACTTGGAAATCTAATTATACCAAGTTCTCAAAGATGACCCAAGAAAGTGATTTCCCCACAAGTCTCATAAAATGACTTACTAGAGTAGTGCTTTAATTGAAGACCATGGCTTTCAACAAGCTAAATTATAGCGTCCACTTTCTGCTTGTGGAAGTCCAAACACAATAAAGTACATTTAATGCATAACTGGACATTCCCATTCTATTTTCACTAAGCCACTAGCATTCTCTAACAATAATTAGCTTTTACCCAATAGATCTTAGGTAAAAAGCTTACCACATTCTCTTACTGCTAAAAAATTAAACTGCCTTCCTACAGGTCCTTTCAACACATAATCATTATTTAAATGGAAACTTGAGCAAGCACAACTTAAAAATCTATACAACTTCATGTACAGAAACACCATGTCAACTACTATGAACAATTAAACTCCTACTGAGTCAGCAAAACTACACCATGCACAAATGGAAGTCTCCAAATTATTTTACTAATTATCTGAAAACTATAGCCTAACATTTCAAAAAGACAAGTATTTTTGGGTTTACAGCTGAAATGAAACTTGGAAATGGCAGTCCAATAAAGCAAGCCCATTTGTATTTTTATTAGCTTTGTATTTATGTGAGAACCTACAAGTCCTTTACAGCAGTTTCCTACCCATTTCTTCTTTTCACTAATTGACAGCAAAAATAAACATTCACTCTAAACTGGACAACTTAAGTTCCTGAAATAACTCAGTAGGCCTCCTATACAATCACAGGCAGCCTTCTATATCTTATTCTTTTGCTCCACTTGCACAAGCCACAAGAAATCCCATGCTTCTAAGTTTTCCATGCTTCTACATTCCACTACCTCCCCTGCTTTCTCCTTCTCAATACCAAAAACAAAGTACATTTCTGTGATTTTAGTGACCATGAATACCAGAGACTTCACAGGGACAAAACATGGTGTAATTGCTATTCCAAACAGATATGACAAAGCAGACAGAATTCTGCCAAAGAAGAACAAAGCTGAACTTCTAATAACAGCAATAATCAAAGCCAAATAAATTGGGTGGCTTCACTAACTTGAATAAAAATCACAGTAACACACCCTTTTTCAAGTCCTAAAAAAAAAAAGACAAAATAAGGAAAGGAAGATGTCTTGAATCACAATCTCTGAAGAATGTTTCTTTTATAGGCAAGAACACAAGGCGAGGAAGGAAAAATAGTATCATAGCTGCTAATCACCATTCTCTTCACTGGGCTGCAAGCACTAATCCTGAAACCCTGACCATCCAGCACAAAGGTACCTGGAATACAGCTAGCTAAGATAAGGACTGCCATCTCTCACCAGCCAAATTAGCTATTTATTGCTACAGTACAGAAAAAAAAATCCGAGAACAAGAAATCCAGCAAGTCGACAACTGGAAAAAGGGAAATATAACTCCCATATTCAAGAAGGGGAAAAAGGATGACCCGGGGAATTACAGACCAGTCTCACCTCTGTGCCTGGCAAAATCTTGGAGCAGATTCTCCTAGAAGGCTTGCTAAGGTACATGAAAAACAAGAGGGTGCTTGGTGACAGCCAGCATGGCTTCACTAAGGGGAAATCCTGTCTGACCAACTTGGTGGCCTTCTATGATGGGGCTACAGAACTGATGGACAGGGGTAGAGCAGTTGATGTCATCTACCTGGACTTGTGCAAAGCGTTCGACACTGTCCCACATGACATCCTTGTCTCTAAATTGGAGAGACATCAATTTGATGGATGGACCACTCGGTGGATAAAGAACTGGCTGGATGGCCGCACACAAAGAGCTGTGGTAAATGGCTCAATGTCCAGCTGGAGACGAGTAACGAGTGGTGTTCCTCAGGGATTGGTGTTGGGACCAGTCTTGTTTAACATCTTCATCCCTGACATGGACGGGGGATTGAGTGCACCCTCAGCAAGTTTGCCGATGACACCAAGCTGTGGGATTCAGTTGATATGCTGGAGGGAAGAAATGCCATCCAGAGGGACCTCGACACGCTTGTTAGGTGGGCTGATGCTACCTCATGAAGTTTAATCATGCCAAGTGCAAGGTCCTATACCTGGGTTGGAGCAATCCCAGGCACAGCTACAAGTTGGGCAAAGAAGAGATTCAGAGCAGCCCTGCAGAGAAGGACTTGGGGGTGCTGGTTGATGAGAAAATGAACATGGGCCAGCAGTGTGCGCTTGCAGCCCAGAAAGCCAACCTTATCCTGGGCTGCATCAAGAGGAGCGTGACCAGCCGGTTGAAGGAGGTGATCCTGCCCCCCTCTACTCTGCTCCTGTGAGACCTCACCCGGAGTACTGTGTGCAGTTCTGGTGTGCTCAACATAAAAAGGACATGGAACTGTTGGAACAAGTCCAGAGAAGGGCCACGAGGATGGTCAGGGGACTGGAGCACCTCCTGTATGAAGACAGGCTGAGGAAGTTGGGGCTGTTCAGCCTGGAGAAGAGAAGGCTGTGTGGAGACCTCATAGCAGCCTTCCAGTATCTGAAGGGGGCCTATAGGGATGCTGGGGAGGGACTCTTCACTAGGGACTGTAGTGATAGGACAAGGGGTAACGGGTTAAAATTTAAACAGGGGAAGTTTAGATTGGATATAAGGAGGAAATTCTTTCCTGTTAGGGTGGTGAGGCACTGGAATAGGCTGCCCAGGGAGGTTGTGAATGCTCCATCCCTGGCAGTGTTCAAGACCAGGTTGGACAAGGCCTTGAGTGATATGGTTTTGTGTGAGGTGTCCCTGCCCATGGCAGGGGGGTTGGAACTTGATGATCTTAAGGTCCTTTCCAACCCTAACTATTCTATGATTCTATATGTCTGATACAATTGCTTTACAGAAAGGTCTCAGATTTGAACACATTTCACTAATGATACATTGAGGCCATTAGTATAGTAATACTACTTCAGTTTAAAGTAGATATATTAAAATTATTATAGTTTAATATAGAAAGATACTCTTTCCCAGTCTTCTACTCCATGAACATGAATCCTCATAGTCTTATCTTTATATTCACCTGATATACACCTTACTTTTACAATCCATTGTTATTTTACTTGTATGAATAAAAATCAATTCCACTAGACCTAGAAGACTAAGTATCCCATGAAGCTCTGTCTGGATTCAAATCAGTGCTCATTTGAAGAAACTTCAGAAAGATGGCATACCAAGACATTTCACACACACAAAAAAAAAACAACAAACAAGCAGTGGTTATCAGATCTAACTTCTCACACAGTGGAACATGCAGCATTCAACATAATCTCATCTTAAACCTTTACACAAGGGGACTTACCCTTTGTTTAAATAGAAGCTCCAAACCCTGCAGCTCAGCTGCATTCTGCAATGCAGCAGCTAATGGTGGCACTACACAGGTAGAACAAGAGCTTTGTCACATAATCCACATTTAAGTGATGCAGCCCTTAGTTGAAAGATCACCTGCAGCATCTCTATGATTTTCTCTCTCAGCTAAACACAAAGTAAAGAAACAGTATGCGACCCCTAAATGTATTATTACACATGGATTCCCTGGCAGTATATATTTACCATTTAGATTAGAGGCTCCTTCTAATCCTTCATAATGGACAAGCCAGCTAGCAGGAGTGCTTTATATCCTGCACTACCTATTTGCATTGAGTACCTTAATCATCATCCAGGTATCTATTATCTGCCAAGTTCTACAATAGCTACATCAGATCAGTTCTAACCCCTTTGAAATAGTGGGATTTTTCATGTTGTTAAGACCCACTGTTCCTACCAGACCTTATATTTGGGTGGCAAAAAGAGCCAAAGGTATACCTCATAGGGTTGACTACACTCCTCATTAGGAAAACAGGAGATACAAATTCTGAGACACTCATTTCTCAGATTTGCAAGTTACCCATACCAGTCAAGTTTCTCTAGAATCAGTATCAGGAAGTACTTTTACATAGGTGGGTATAAGTTCCTCTTTTCCTTCTAAAGGAAGATAGTTATTTTATGACAAAACCTAGCAGAAGGAACTGAAACATATTAACAAAGATTAATTTCACATGGAGAGCTGCAAACTACAGAGGACCCTGTGGCCAGCCCTCCAGACTGCTTAGGCTTTCAACACATGTTAATCACCATCGTCCTGCTGATCTGGCTCAAAGTTGCAATCAGTGACATTTATACAAGCAGATCTGTCAAACTAACCCAGGCTGTCAGTTCTGCAATTGTATTTTGCACCATTTCATGGTTAAGGTGGCAGCCAGTTAGATTAAAATGCATTGCTATCCCCAATAGGAATATTTAAGCCATTTAGGAAGGAACCGTGTAAGAAACCTCTTGATTGATTTAGGTAGCTTGCTTGTTACAAGAATGTTACCAAATTCAGTCTCTTCAAATATGGTAGAGAAGGAAATCTTGCAACCAGTACTAGCTCCATTAGAGAAAAGCTAGTAGATATGTATAAGATAATATCAATAAAGTTCTTTAACAGGATAGAAAATACTCTTAGAAGAGCCAGACAAAGTCAATGCTCCAAAAATTTAGCATACCTTTTCCATCAATAAAAGTGGCATTCTAAGTCTTGTCTACTAATGTGCAGGACTTCATATGCAATGTTTAACTACAATTTAAGTACCTAATGATCTCAAAAAGAAAAGTCACTTTATCTAGGGCAGTAACAAAAAGCTTGATACCGCTGTAACCTTAAATCTTAAGCTCACAATAGTGTGTGTGCCTTTAACACAGTAGAAGAAACCAAACTGTTCTAACTTACTAAGACATAGAGAGAAAGAAATGTTTGGCTGATGGGGGAAGGAACATCATGGAACTGATAACAACTAGAAAGACAGTAAGTAAGACCAAGGATGCTAGCCTTCAAGACAGAGTGGCACTCAGCATGGAGCGAGACTGGAACAGAACAGAAACAAGGACACACCAACTGCTAACTCAGCACTAGGACCTTACAAGCATACACAAGCACTGAGGTCATTCAGTAAACACAGTGAGGAAGACTACTGACAACCACCAAAGACCCCCACTCAGCAAGAAAGCACATACATAATTAGGATGTGCATATTATAATTAATTCAAGGAAAACTATTAATATGCATGAGTATGCTAAATATATAGCCACTGTCAGAAAGTATCAAGCACATTCACCTTCGTGAAATGATTTGTGTGTGTGCCCAGCACTTCACTAAAGAATGCCTACTTCCTGAAACCCCAAATTGAGCCTTAGAGAGCTTCTCCAAGCAACTTTTATGGTAACACCACAAGTCTTATCTGAAAGCTTGAGAACATAAACTCACTGTATCTGTATTACTCAGGCTCACTTTAAAACTAAGTCAGGGACACATATGCATACTATTACTTTCAAGATTGCTAGTATACTCAAACAGCGAAGCCACACACAACTGAGCACAGTCTGGTGCACATGATGGAACCGCTTTCACTTCTTACTCCCTCCTCTGGCTAAGGAGTGTTGCAATGCATTTATGGCAACGTGGATAGCATGAAGCAAAGGAGGACTAAGCCTACTAAACATTTCCTATTTCCCCATCTCAGGGCAGTGGCAAATACCGTCGCACTCCTGACAGGTAGAGACACATGGACGGATGGCTCCGCATGATTTTATCGCGGATCTCATCATGGCTACGCACACGGGTGCAAGAGACTAAGAAACGGAGGATCCACAATGCCACTATGTGAGTTGTAGCCCACCGCTGTGCTTCCCAGCACGTACCCTACTGCAAGGATAAGTCAAGGACAAGTGGGCTCTGCCGCCCTCCTCGAGGGATGCCAGGGATCGCATCCCCGTCCGCAACCATTCGGCTGCCCACGTAGCGCTCCTGGCAGGGCGCTGCAGGCCCCGGGCGCATGTGCCCAGCCTGTAATGAGCCTGCAGCCAGCCCGGCTTCAGTCACCATCACGCGGCCCCTCCGTACGCTGGCGGGAGCAGCAGCTAGCAGAGCGGCTGCGTGTGCATGCGGCGATTCCTCCCTTCTCCCATCCCAGGACCGCATGGGCAAGAGAGAGCGAAGTGGAGCTCCACTCAGCCCCTGAAGAACTGAATCGAGAGGGCGCATTCCGCCCCCGGGGAATGTCCCGGCTCCCCAGCAGCGTCTGAGACAGCGCTACGCAGCAACAGACCTCGTACACTGAAGTAATCAGTGTGCCGGCAGCCTGAGGGGTGGGCGGGGCGCGGTGCAAGGGAATTAGGACGGCTACTGCCCCACTGAGCCGCAGAGAATGACTGGCACGGTCTACCTAGCCTCACTTGAACTTCTGGAAGCGATTCTTGTCAGCTTCGAACAGCTACCGCAGGACAAGCTTGGAAGAATTTGCCTTGTGCCATTGCACTAGCTTCTTGAAAGTGGGGTCACCTAAAAAAAACATACTAGGAACCAAATAGAACTACACCAAACAACAGTTAACACACAACCCCAAGCCTCCGCCTTTATAGCGGCGAGCTCGGCTTCCTGCCGTCGGCCCCGCCCCTTTACGGCTACCCCGCCAGGCCAAGCCGTGGGATGTCCTCAGTTCATCTGCGCGGTTTTGTGAGTGTGCGCGTTTGCTATGTGGCTTCCGGCCGTCGTGGACAGGTCGCTAGGTCTCGGGGCTGATATAAGGAAAGCAAGTGCCTGGAAAACATAGGGTTAAAATACTTTTAGCCTAACTCAGGTTTAAAATAGAGAACAATGTTTGTGTTGTAAGTCTATGGTGAGGTAACAGAATTTAGTGGCCTTACTAATATGAGTGAATTATTTCACCCCGTCCTTCTACTTATCAGTTAGTTTAGAGACAGTGTCTCCCGAACATCTGCTAGCTTCGGATACTCCTTGTGATAAACACATAAATGTATTGGCTTTTGCAAATAGGTGTTGCTATGTGGATATAACTGTATGAGTTCGCAATAACAGAAACAAAGCTCGCTAAAGACACAAGATCAGACAACAAGTTGAAAATGGCCAGAACTCTTGAGCAAAATGGAGTCACATAGCAAAATAACTTGTATAGGTAAAATAAAAGGGGGGGGGGGGGGCTTGATATGAGAAAAGCTAGTGCCTAGAAAACCTAGGGTTAAAGTACTTTTAGCTTAACTTAGGTCAAAGATAAAGAAGAATGTTTGTATCACAGTATCACAGTATGCTAGAGATTGGAAGGGACCTCGAAAGATCGTCTAGTCCAATCCCCCTGCCGGAGCAGGAACACCTAGATAATGTTACACAGGAATGTGTCCAGGAAGGGTTTTGAATGTCTCCAGGGAAGGAGACTCCACAACCTCCCTGGGCAGCCTGTTCCAGTGTTCTGTCACCCTCACTGAGAAGAAGTTTCTTCTCAAGTTTAAGTGGAACCTCTTGTGTTCCAGTTTGTACCCATTACCCCTTGTCCTATCATTGTTTGCCACTGAGTAGAGACTGGCTCCATCCTCGTGACACTCCCCCTTTATATATTTATAGACACTTATAACGTCACCCCTCAGTCTCCTCTTCTCTAAACTATAGAGACCCAGCTCCCTCAGTCTTTCCTCATAAGGGAGATGCTCCACTCCCCTAATCATCTTTGTTGCCCTTCGCTGGACTCTCTCCAGCAGGTCCCTGTCCTTCTTGAACTGAGGGGCCCAGAACTGGACACAATATTCCAGATGGGGTCTCACCAGGGCAGAGTAGAGGGGAAGGAGGACCTCTCTCGGTAGGGGGACCTACTCGGTTAGTAGGGACCTACTAACCACCCCCCTTCTAATACACCCCAGGATGCCATTGGCCTTCTTGGCCACAAGGGCACAGTGTTGGCTCATGGTCATCCTGTCGTCCACTAGGACCCCCAGGTCCCTCTCCCCTACACTGCTCTCTAACAGGTCGTTTCCCAACTTATACTGGAACCTGGGGTTGTTCCTGCCCAGATGCAGGACTCTACACTTTCCCTTGTTATATTTCATCAAGTTATTCCCTGCCCAACTCTCCAGCCTGTCCAGGTCTCGCTGGATGGCAGCACAGCCTTCTGGCGTGTCAGCCACTCCTCCCAGCTTAGTGTCATCAGCAAACTTGCTGATAGTACACTCAATTCCCTCATCTAAATCGTTGATGAATATATTAAATAATACCGGTCCCAGTACTGACCCTTGAGGCACTCCACTAGTTACAGGCCTCCAACTAGACTCAGCCCCATAGACTACAACTCTCTGGCTTCTCTCCTTCAGCCAGTTCACAGTCCACCTCACTACCTGATCATCCAGTCCACACTTCCTCAATTTAGCTGTGAGGATGCTGTGGGAGACTGTGTCAAATGCTTTGCTGAAGTCAAGGTAGACCACATCCACCGCTCTGCCATCATCCATCCACCGTATTATTTCCTCATAAAAGGCTAAGAGATTGGTCAAACATGATTTCCCCCTGGTGAAGCCATGTTGACTGCCCCTCATAACCCTCTTATCCTTGATATGCCTTAAGATGGCACCAAGGATAAGGTGTTCCATCACTTTCCCAGGGATGGAAGTGAGGCTGACTGGTCTATAGTTACCCGGGTCCTCCTTCTTGCCCTTTTTGAAGGCTGGAGTGACATTTGCTTTCCTCCAGTCCTCAGGCACCTCTCCCGTTTCCCAAGACTTGGTAAAGATGATGGAGAGCGGTCTAGCAATGACTTCCGCCAGTTCCCTCAGCACCCACGGGTGCATCCCATCTGGACCCATGGATTTATGGATGTCCAGATTGCTCAACTGGTCTCTAACCCATTCCTCATCGACTAAGGCAAACCGCTCTGTCGACCTGACTTCATCTAAGGTCTCAGGGGTACAGGGCTCTTCAGGACTGCCTGCAGAGGGTAGGCAGAGAAAAAGAAGGCATTCAGTAACTCTGCCATCTCTGTATCTTCTGTCACCAGGGCACCCATCCCGTTCATCAGTGGGCCTACATTGCCTCTGGTGTTAGTTTTGTCTGCCATGTATTTGAAAAAGCTCTTTTTGCTGTCCTTGACCCTTCTTGCCAGGTTTAATTCTAAGGAGGCCTTAGTCCTCCTAGCTGTCTTCCTACATCCTCTAGCAGCAGCCTTATATTCCTCCCAAGTGGCCAGCCCCTCCTTCCATGACCTGTAAACTCTCCTCTTCCACCTGAGCATACCCAGCAATTCCCTATTTAGCCACGCAGGTCACTTGGCCCTCTTCCTTGACTTCCTACGTGTCGGGATGCTCCGATCTTGAGCACGGAAAAAGCAGTCCTTGAATGTCAACCAACTATCTTGGGCCCCTTTACCTTCAAGCAGCCTTGCCCATGGGATTTCCCCTAGCAATTGCTTGAAAAGGCCAAAGTTTGCCCTGCTAAAGTCCAGGGTTGCAATTCTACTTGCTATTCTACTAGTCCTACCACACAAGATCCTGAACTCCACCATCTCGTGGTCGCTGCAACCAAGGCAGCCCTCAACCCTTACTGCTTCAACCAGACCCTCCTTGTTAGTGAGGATGAGATCCAGCAGCGCTCCTCTCCTGGTTGGCTCATCCACCATTTGCAGGAGGAAGTTATCATCCATACACTGGAGGAACCTCCTGGACTGTGGCTGGGTTGCTGAGTGGTCCTTCCAGCAAACGTCAGGGAAGTTAAAATCCCCCACGACGACCACAGCCTGTGACTGTGAGGCCGCTCTCAGCTGTCTGTAGAAGGCCTCGTCAACCCTGATCAGGTGGTCTGTAACAGACACCCACAACAGTATCCCCCCTGCCAGCCTGCCCCTTAATTCTCACCCACAGACTCTCAACTCGCTCATCATCTGTCCCTGGACAGAACTCGGTGCATTGTAGTTGCTCCCGTACATAAAGAGCAACCCCACCACCCCTCCTGGCTGGCCTGTCTTTCCTGAAAAGGACATAGCCCTCCATGACTATATTCCAGTCATGTGAGCTGTCCCACCACGTCTCTGTAATTGCCACCAGATCATAGTCTCCTGACTTAACACAGGTTTCCAACTCCTCCTGCTTATTTCCCATGCTGCGCGCATTGGTGTACAGACATTTCAGGGAGAGAGCTGAGCACACCGATTTCACCCTAGGATTATAGGGGGCCTCCCAGTCTTCATTAATTCTGGAGCGCTGCCCCACTGGGGCAAGCCCAGCTACAACCCCATCCCCCTTCGAATCTAGTTTAAAGCTCTCCAAATGAGCCCTGCTAATTCGTGCCCCAGCATCCTTTTGCCTCTGTGAGACAAACCTTTTTCACTTGTCATTGTCCAGACTGGTGCCCTATAAAACCAGCTGTTATCAAAGAATCCAAAGCCCTGCCTGTAGCACCAGTCTCAAAGGCAATTGTTCATGAACTGAATCTTCCCATTCCTTCCCACATCATCAGTGGAAGATGGAAGGAGTGAGGAGAAGATCACTTGAGCCCCAGACTCTTTCACCATCCACCCCAAGGCCCTGTAGTCTTTCTTCATCCCCCTCAGACTGCGGGAAGCAGCTTCCTCCCCACCTGTCTGGAAGACCAGCAGTCTGTCGGGTGCACCAGGTTGGGGAGCTCCCTGTTGATATCCCTGATCCGGGCTCCAGGCAGACTACACACTTCCCTATGATGAGGGTCAACTCTGCATATCGGGCCCTCTGTTCCTCTCAGAAGGGAATCCCCTACTACAATGACCCTTCTTTCTTTCTTAACAGAGGCAGTCTTGAGGTGCAAAGTTGAGCCCCTTTTCCTATGTGGCCTTGTCCCACATTCTCACCTACCTCTCCTTCAAGATCCAGGGCCTCGAACCTATTACAGAGGGACACCTGGGGAAACAGGGCAGGAAGGGGGGAGGGTTTCCCTCGACATCGAACTGGAACTCGGTTCCAACCCTCGTCATCTTTTTGGTCCCCTACCTCTGCGCAACAGCTACAGGGCAGGGGCTGTCTCGGGCCATCCCCCTCTGTGTGAGAAGGCAGGGGGTCCTTCCCCTTTTGGGGGGTATCTCCCTGGCATGCCAGGGAGTTACTCCACCAGTCGATGGCCCTTTCACACTCCCTGATAGTCCTCAGTGTCTCAACCTCCTCCTTAAGTCTTGCCACCAGGCTAAGCAGATCTTCTACCTGCTCACACCTCATGCAGGTGGAATGATGTCCTCCCTCCCCCGGCAGCAGCAGGCTCTGGCACTCCCTGCACCCAGAGACCTGAACAGCCACGGTCTGGGACAGGGTCTCTGTCTGAGTTGCTGTAGTCACCTTACTGCAAACTCTCTTTTTGGAGACAACCATATTGGTCCGGAGCCTGGGACACCAGCAACACGACCTGCTCGTTTCTCCCAGGGCCTGGTAGGCAGCGACTGGTCGCTGCCCTCTCTGAGGCTTTTTCAAGGCAAGCAGCAGGGGAGTGGTCACCGTCACCGTGGGAACGCCCCCCGCCACGTCAGCCTCTCTCTCGCAAGGGCTGCTGG